TTTCTGTGACATTGGGATGTTGAAAGAAAAGAATTAGTTTGGCAACTTTGTTCCAGTCAAGATGCTCGATGACTTCTGCAACTGCTGTGATGTGTCCTCATGCTTAGATATTTGTGTCTTTTGGGGGGCAGATGATTCCCATGGAGTCCAATTGCGGGCACACATTCCAAATCCCTAACTTGGGTGTTACTGGATGTGGCTCCAGAGCATAAAATGTCAACCAGGGTATCAAGGGAGGGAGCAGAGCTGTTTTGGAAGTAAGAATGCACAAGACAAAGCATTTAATGAGGAGGTCCATAAATGGGAACAGAGGGTAGAACACAGTGCATGGAAAGAGAGAAACTGGAGCTATATTCGTTGTGTGAGAGAGTTAGAAKTAAGAAAATCAGGAAGGGTGAGAAAGAAGAACCACAGAGAGATTGGGAACAGGATAAGGTACAGCCGGAGGAAAAGGCCCTGGGAGAGCCTTCAGTGATTACAGAGAAAGATCTGCTTTCAGATTGAAGCTCTCGGATCGATGTACAATRTTTAAAAGGAAGTCATATAATAAGTTATAACTCATGTTTTTTTGAGCAAACAGTGCTTAGCAAATCTGGTAGTGGTTTCAGTGCACAGAGAGGAGTGATGTGCTGAAGAAAGTAAAGAAGGGCTGTTCTTTTAGGGCTTTGCTAGCTGTGTTCTCTACTTTTTTGCTGTATGTGTGTTTTGATTTTTCAGGGAGATGTGGTTTGGGGGGGATTGGAAGAAAACAAAGTTTTGGAAAAAGAATTGAGAGAAAAAAGGCTAAAAGTTAAGAAACCAGGGCAAACCCAAGTTAGTTGTTTAATGTTCAGCTGATAGTGTTACTACAGTCTTAAGAAATTCTGCTGATTTATGATTTCTGTAATGATAACAAACCTGACAGTCCTAGTAAGAAAAGAATTGTAAATATTATTTTCCTCTGTAGGTATACTGATAGTTCAGACTCATGCCATTTTATCATCTTAGTMTTGCATAATGCAGCCAATTCATGTTTTCCAGAGCTGCCCAATTAAGTTAAGTGCTCAGAAGTTTCCATGACCTTTAGGTTCCTTTGTACTCTGTTGTTTTTCAGAGAGTATGATAGACTTCGTGGTTTACTTCCAGTGTAGCCTTTTTTTTATGGAAAAGATGTCACAATGCAGAAAGACCATGGTTTTGAGTTGTGTTTTTGAGCATTTAATACAAGGCTGATTTGACTTCCTTTTTTCTCTTCTTCTAAAAATGTTTTAACATACTGTTTAAGTAGCTCATAAAAAAGCATCAGCGGCAAAATACTGTATTTTTAAAGGTATCATTAGGCTGAATATGTGGCAAAAATAAGTTRAAGAAAGAAGATACCCGTAGCGATATCCTGCTTGTTGCAGGATATATGCACCTTTATMATATTCACTACAGTAATTGGTGTTCACTGTACTTTCAGTTCTTGCTTCAGTTTTGCCTGTCACAGTCTCTGTGACCTGCTGGAAAACTTTCTGTAAAGTTTAGATTGTTCTGTTCACTCAGATCTGTGTGAGCTCCGAAACACAGGCCTCTGCTCTTCTCTGAACTGTTGGGGGTTTTTCGAAAATCTTATGGAGTTGGAAAAGCAGGCAGGTGGAGACCTTGTGAGAAAGAATGTAGGGGCTGCCTCAGTAGGTGCAGCACCACAATCACATGGTGCTTCCCGTGCAGACCCAAACACTTCCTCTGTTTGCCTGGAGTATAAACAGGGAAACCTCAAGGCTGTCTGCCCCTGCCCCTGTAGGCATGTATTTAGGAGCCTGAGCTTATTTGTCAGAGCTATTTCACCCTTTATTTGGGGCCAATGCTGAACAGTATGAGCAACTGCTCATGTCAGAACACTAATTAATCTACATATATATATGTGTATATATAAATATGTATAAACGTATACCTACCCTGCACATATACTCCAGTCCCCCTGTCCTGAAAATATAATTGTTACCCTGGTGTTGCTTAACATTTAGTAATTATGRAGCCTGGAGATCTTGTTTACACATGCCAAACCCTGTCTGCTGTTTTGGTCCGTGTTTGTTTCCACACATCCATCAAGGCCTTGCAAAGCAAAATGTGACCATTGGCATGTTATTCCCACAATGTTGCAAATGTTCTGATCTTCCTGCAACCTGATACAAAAGGGCCCTGTTGGCAATTTTTTTAAAACTAAAATTTTCTTGAGAAAATGTGGTAGATTGTGGTGAGTTTACACCAGTGCACACAATTATTTTACATCTCAATAGGGCAGTAAAGAACTAAGAAAATTCAGGTATCATTTTGAAGAGTTGTGATCTGAACTTATTTAATAAATGAATGTAACACATAAGTGTGTGTCTATATATTTATATGTATTCATAATCAAAACTTATATGTACTATAGTATGAAAGAGGATGAGAGTTAATTAGGAAAAAAAAGATTTAAAAATAAATGCAGAAGTAGAACAACTAAACATGGTAAAACAATACTGTTGCTGTGACAGAAGGACAAATCTCAGCTACACTTTCATTTTTCTTAAATGATTTTTAGATGTGTATATGAATGAGACTCCTTTTCCCAAAACTACTCAGGARATTTTATTCTGTAACAAACCCTTGCTTTGCATTTTCTGTTTTGGATAAGGTGAAACCTGTGAAGGAATGGATTTATATGTATTTGGGAGGCTTTTTTATATGTGCAAAATATAGAAGGTGTTGCAGTTGTCCCTCAGACTGTCAGTCAAGGAGCCAGTGTATTAATAGCCTATTAATAAGCMAAACTGCTGTGTGAAATGATTCGTGTTGGCTTAGTATGTGAAATCTTTCTGAACTGAAATGTGTCATTTTTTCTAATGCTCTTTTGAAGAGAGGGTTTTGATTTTGGCTTTAGGGGAGAAGCATTGCCACTGTGTTGTCTCTTCCTGTGCACCTGKAAACCATGGTACAAGGAGGAGCTGAAACCAAGCCCAGAACTGSTGTTCTCTGTATCAAGGCATCTCTCCTTGAATAAAGACATCTCTTGAAARTGGTTGTGCTTTACAGTGGTGTGTGAGTGCTACTGCAACTGTGGCCTGTTACGTGTAATGTCTCACTTAAAAAGTTGGACTCTTGCAATTTAGTGTGAGTGCGTGTGTCCCACCCCTAATTCTCAGGTGGGTGTGTTGCTTAATTTATAAACATTTAATGCTGTTGAAAAGAATGAGAAATACAAAGTTTTGGCAGTGTTACTGGAAAACTACTTTTAAAATGTGTTTGTTTTTCATACTTGGTGTGTCTGACTAGGCCAAGAGATCAYTCTTTTTCTGACTTTGTAACTCTGTTTCTTTGCTTTCTGTACATAATTCCTAATAATTTTTTTTACCACTGATTATCTTTCTGACAGTAAATGAGGCTGTTCATTAGTCTAAAAACTTAGTTTTCATGCAGCCTGTCTCGGAGGAGAGGTTCTTTGTCTTGTTCCATTTTTATTTTGAGTTCTGTGCGGGCTAAAATTGAACTGGGTACTCTTTCCCAACCTGACWGGATCAGATACTTGTTTTGTTTAAAGTAGCTAAAGGTTTGAATGATGTTTTGATGACTACTTTATGGTCCTTGCTTGCCATAGAAGTTGTGTTCGAGCCAAATTAACAGTGTCATTTTGGTCAACAGTGATTAGAACCCCCCTGAATGTTTTCCCTTATTTAGCATTAATTGTATTTTATGTATTATTTTCAGTTTACCTGCTTCATCGGTGAAGTGACGAATACTTAATTGTAAATGAAGATTTCTTAGAAGAATAGAAAGATACAGAATAGAGATAGAGATAGAAAAGATACAGAAAGCTTTTCCAGTTTTAGCATTTGGTCGCAAGTATGTGCATGGAGGAAAAGGATATTCATGCCTGTATGGATACAGTCATGATGAGTGCATATGCAAATATGCCTAAGTCTTGGCAGGCTTTCTCCTGCTTTAGCAGGATGTTAATTCAAATAAGGCATCCTAAAAATTATGTTTTACCTGTATTCATTGCTTACTGGCTTATGTTATTTAAAGATACCTCAGTCAGTATTTCAGTAGTGAATGACATGAATTTTCTTATCCAAACTGATACAAGTTATTCTGATGAATGCTAAGTACTAAACTGTTTGAGATAGGTTATCTTTACTCTTTTATTTGAAAAAAGAAGCTCTAACTTCACAAGARTAATAACTACGCTAGTAATTCTGTACTATAGGTCATGTTTTACAGGATTAGAGTTTATRTATGTGCTTCTGCAGATAATTCTAGGATTCAGTTCTGTTAATGAATTTAGATATCAATAGGCTCTGAACATACAGAAAGGTTTGGATCCTGAAGAAAATAATATCCTTATCTGAATGGAGGCAGATACTGGTTGCATGAATAGCTTTTGTCTGAAAATTGCTGAGCTATAATTATACCATAACTAAGATATAATCAAAACTAGAAATATGTAAGTTTCTTTCCAGACTATCTACATTGACCTTTCTCTTTAGTAGAGGTCCACATTTTATAAATTTGTTTCTTTTGTAGTATTAATTCACAGTAGAGTTGAAGCAGGGATTTTGTTTTCTTTATGARACCTGCTTTTGTTGACCACCTAATTTTGCCTTTGTTTAGGCAAGATCTTTCTGGTAGTATGCATTTCTGKGAGTAGTGACCATTCTTCTTAACTATGTTTTTCATGATGTGCAACCTAATGGCATCTCAGCTGGTAAATGAGATAACGATTCATCCTCCATTGGCAAAAAACTTCCCCCATTGGCAAAAAAAGAAATTGCAATGGAAATGCTCGTGTGCCTCTTTTTTTTTTAAAAAAAAAAAAAAGAAAAACACAAACCAAAGAACAACAAAAAACCTGTTCCAATAATGTAATTGAATATAAAGTGATCTTGCAAAGGGCCAGCTTATTAGTAATGGCTCAGTTTGGGATTTTTTTAATATGATACAAGTTAGGAGTTRACAGGTGAAATAATTCTTAACATAGGTTTGTTTCCTCTGTTTTGTAGACAACTCTGCTGAAGCAGATTTATGGTTGCTGAACAGTTGTACAGTAAAAAATCCTGCCGAGGACCACTTCAGAAACTCCATCAAGTAAGTTGTTTCCTTACAAAGATACTTAATTTGCAATGAATATTGCATGTCTTAAAGCTTTGTGTTTTCAATCTAGAAGTAATTTTGTGTTTTAGAGCAAGAAGTGTGCTGAGTTTGAGTGTTATGGTGGTAAATTCTCTAGAACGGGTTTGTAAGGTACAGTGGATTTTTTTTGTTAGCTACAACTTGCAAATGATTCTGCACTTAGGAGAACTGCTGACCCATTTAGATAGTGTCTTTTATATCACTTTTGAAGACAATGTTGTAATAGTCTTTTGAAGCGTTGACTACGCTTTTAGTTTTGGTTTTTTTTTTTTTTTTCCCGTGTACTTAAATATGTCCTAACTGGGACCTTCTTTTCAGTGGTGCCCAGCAGTGGCCCTAAATTAAATGACAAGAAGTACCTCAACGTGAGAAAGAATTTCTTTCTTTCTTAGAACAGKCTGCCCAGGGGGGTTGTGGAGTCTCCCTCTGGAGRCATTCCAAACCCACCTAGATGTGTTCCTGTGTCACCTGCTCTGCCTTGACTCTGCCTTGGCAGGGGGATTGGACAAGATGATGTCCAGAAGTACCTTCCAACCCTACCAATTCTCTTGAAAAGGCGTATGCTTAAAACCAGCTATTTCACTAAACATTTTCTTAAAAGATTAACTGATTAGCTTATAATCGAAGTCTTGTGAAGAATGGGTTTTTTTATTGAGTACCATTCCAATGATTTCAAAAAATGACATAGAATTGACTTTTGCCTCCAGTTTCTGCACAAGTGTAGGTGTGATGAGAGTAACTGGAAAACCTGTACTTGTATAGCTGTCATTGCCCAGTATAAAGAAATACTGTGGCATATGTCTTGTAGATTTTATCTGTTGTTTAATGTGGTGCACTGGGGATGGACTGGGTGTTGAAATCCTTTTTGGTTAGAAAAACATAGTTCTTGGGAAGGGGGAGAGATGAGGGACACTGGATATAAGGTACCTGCTCACAATGCTGGAGTTACTAACAGAGAAACCACTTGCCTGCTGTAGGTGGCACAGCAGAAATTTCCTCCACCCCTCAGAGTGCTTCACTTCCTGGCTGCTGGTGTTGCACTTGGTGACCAGAATGGCTTTTTGCCTTTTCTCCTTTGTTGCCAAAAAAAAATTTCCAGGTAGTTAAAAATTTATAAATATTAAGCAGCAAAAAAAAAAAAAAAAAAAAAGCAAGCTCTTCAGCTCTTCCCAGAATACTTCCAGCAGTTAGTCTGAGCTGGCCAACAGAACTGATGACAAGATAGTTTCCAGTTCAGTTGTGGCCATCCTTCTATTTTACTAATCTTGTGCCAGAATTAATGTGGTATGGTGTGTGTCCTAGCCAGTAGAATAGAGCTGGTTAAGAAAGAGGGCCTAACTGAAAGCAAATGACCGAAAATATTTCTTTGAAGAACATGTTTCTGTTGCTGGTCTGCTCATGACCCTGATGTTACTTGTAGCCTGGATTTATTCTATTTTATCCTTACATCTGCCTGTACTTGTTYCTTTCCTGTAGCATGTGTTGTTCTCAGATCCTGGCAGTTCCCAGCCATGAAGAATGACTACTTTTGTAGTTGTTTCTGACTCTTTTTTCTAAGGTTCATTAAACAGGGGGAGAGAACCATTTGTGAGTGCACATTCGTGGGACTTGGAACTGAAAAATTAAAACATCTTCACTCTCAGGAAAAAGTAACTACTGTATTTTGGTTTTACAGTCATGAGGAAAGCTTGTCTCTCTAAAGAACACGACTTCTTCCAAATACCTCTTAATTTATTACAGCAAAAACCTAATGCATGAAGTTTTGGTGAATGAACAAAATGAACTGCCATTACATTCTATCATAGCAGCTTGTTGGTAGCTATGGAGATCTTTGTTTTTCTCAATTGAGTAAGAAAATAAACAGTAGTATGTGTGTTGTCAAAGCAAGCATACTTGGAGTGGAAACATTAATACTCAGTAAAATCTGTCTTTAAAAAAAATCAGTCTGAAAATGTTATATAGTATGGATGGTATGTGAGAAAAGGATTTTAGGTTTCTTTACTCTCTGCCCACTGCAGCAGTTCCTGCTGCTTTGCTTGCATATATGACTTCAAAATGCACTGATTCAAATCAGTGGTAGTGTGTTCACACTGGTGGGTAAAGAATGACTGTGAAAAGCTGTTCCCTCCCTAACCCTAAACCTCACTAATACCATGTGCCAAAGGATGTACCAGAACTCAACAAGTCCTGTGGGTTCAACCTTTTTTGGTCTGATTTTCTTCTAAATAAGAAACAAAACCACTCCCAGAATCACTGAACCTTTGTAGATATGTGTACAGCTGATAGAAGCTGACTGACAGTATAATCTTCATGCTGGGTTTTTTTTTTTTCCTTATAGCTCTTAGGAATAATCTGCTGTTCTTCACTATAAAAAAGTTGAAGTTGCTGAGCCAGATTGATGGTATAGAAAGGAAAGAATTACTTCAAGAGATTAGCTTATGGATGGACATTGAAAAATTTTCCTGTGCAGATTTTATTCTTAGTTGGTTAATTGTAAAATAAGATTAAAGTAGGCGTAGGCAATAAGTGTAAAGAATTCCCACTATAATTAAGCAGATGGAGTTTAAAACAATGATTAAGGCTTGTGTTTTGGTGGGTGATGAATATACCTCTTGTGCTTTYGTAGAGTAGTTGTTGGGTATTCCAGGAAATTAGCAGGTTTTGGAAAGTTCCATTTTTTGAAATTGACTTTRTTTTGCCTTAGAATTTAAAATAAAATAATACTTAAAAAAATTCTACATTTAAAAGTCAGTCACACTTTTTTTTTGCTGATAATGTTTCAGTATGATATCTTTGTTCTGCACCTGATCATCTGTCTGTATGACCAAGTTAGATGAGTTAAGTGTATATGTATATATTTCTTTTATAAACAGTATAAATAATAAGTAAAAAATATCATTAAAGTTCTTCCAGAGACATGTCACTATTTATTTGTTTGGGGGAGTGTTGTGTAGTTTCTTTGTGGTTCATTTAAGTGCCTCTCCTTATTGTTTTTTGTGTTTTGGGGKTTGTTTTCCTTCAGTTGCMGAAGGTTGTCAGGTAAAATGTTCTGCTGTCTTGTATTTTATTGGAAATAGTTTTCTTRAAACTTAACAGTAATAGCAAGAACTAAGTAACTTATCTTAGCCTAWGTAAACGACAGTAAATCTGTTTGACTAAGAGAATTAAGCCCAAGAGTGTGTTCTAGAGGAGCTCACTTCCTTTAAAATAAAGTYATTTTGCTCTTTGGTTTCATGCTTTATTGRTTTCTGTGTGCCYTGATACTCTTTTCTTGACTGTTWCATCTCAGATACATAACYCAGTTTTCCTAATKACCTYTGAAGATTCAGACTGTTGTGTGTTTCTACTAGCAGTCTTTTCCTTTACTTGATCCATTCCTGACTGCTGGTATGAGTTACTCATGAGTTCAGGGACTTTGGCTTTTCCTKAAGGAGTCCTTCTGCTGGTTCAAGTATTATGGATAAGAATTTGGTGTCTGTCTTATCAAAACAGCCAGAATGATGTTGTCTGGGAGGAATGATTTGGTTATGCTGTTGAGATGTTCGTTCATGGTTTGTCTCATGGTATAGAGTAARTCTGACCACTGTAAACAGTAATCTTTGTTACTATATGTTATTAGCGTGTAGCATTAACACACATTCTCTGATTTATTTGTTGCTGCATTCACTTTAAGGCACGCTTCAGTGTGTGTTCAGCCCTTTGCTCTCTGATGGCTGTTGTGACAGAGATGTGAGGGCTTTTAGCACTTAAATAGCACTGTGTGGCTTCCAGTTCTATGTGTGCTTCAGTTTTCACCAATTCATGAATAAACACTATGTGTGGGATCTCACTTTTATGCTAGAAGGAGCATCAAAAACCRTAGAATTTGTAGAAATGTTAGTTTAAGAGGACTGTGATTGTAGACCCTGCAAGTTGTTTAAATCTCTCGGTGGATTAAGTTGAAGAGTAAAAGGCATGACTGCTTTTGGATGCTACAGGATTTCTGTTCCCCAAATGCAATTGTGTTGATGTTAAGTACAGAAAGAGGTTATTCTTTAAGAAATACAAAAGCTTGTTCAGAGATAAGAATAATTTTATGCTGCTTGACATCTTTGCAATAAAAATAACCCTGGGCAAAAGTTTTTTGTTTTCTTTTTTGTCAGCATTTATGAATGTCATTTATATGATGCATTTTGCACATTGAGCAAAATGAAAAATTGCACTGTGCAGGGTTATCACTGTTTAACGCAGCATTAATCCTTTTGCTGTTACTAATACATTTCCAATGTAGCAGGAGACTGTGATTTACAGTTGTTTATACCATTCATGCAATGAAATCTAAGCTGTGATGTACTTCTAGGAGAGGAAACGTAAGTATTTCAGAGCTCTTTATTTTATAGGTCCTGTTAGCATAAGAAGATCACTTCCACCAGGTGTAAGTTTCTGAGATAAGTGTCATTGCCTGGATGTTTATGGCATCTTACAGAAATAAAGTGTTTCCATGACTTTTGGTGTTTGTGTCGGAGTACTTAAAGCAACAGGGCAGTACTGAGAATGTAGGTGGGGTATTGCTGTTTTCTGCTTGAATTGAACAAATCTGAGGAGGAGCTGAATTCTCTGAAGTAAAAAGAAACTTCCTTGGGTGAGAGCGCTTTGGCGCTTGATTATTTTTTTTTCCCCTAAGACTGTTACCAATAATACTCCTTGGTCAGACTCTCTAAACTAGTCTAGATAATGCTGATGAAAATCTTGCCTTTTGCCAGGATGAAAGGCTCACACATCTACAGACTTACGAAGTGCTTATTGTCAAGATTTATTTATATTCACAATGCAAGAGGAACTTCTTCCCCAAATAATAGAGAATTACTTGGTTTTGGCTGGAGGCTGTAAATCAGTTAACTAGAATTTAAAATCACAGTTCTTTTCTCAGAGGAACCAGATAAGCTTAGGTGACTGTTGAAGTTGCTTCATCAAAA